GTAGTAGGGACGTCTGCCATAGTAGGGAGTTGGTGTGGCATAATAGTATGGACGTCTGCCATAGTATGGAGTCGGTGTGGCGTAGTAGTATGGACGTCTGCCATAGTATGGAGTCGGTGTAGCATAGTAGTAGGGACGTCTGCCATAGTATGGACGTCTGCCATAGTATGGAGTCGGTGTGGCGTAGTAGTAGGGACGTCTGCCGTAGTAAGGATGTGGTGTGGTGTAGTAAGGTTGTGCTTCAGACATTGTTGTTTCGGTCCACTCAAAGCGGGGATCTCTCCAGTCCTTTGTAGCAGCTTCTTGCTCTTGCAGTCGCCATAAATCTGATTGCAGTATCTGGGCTTTTTCACTAAGATGCTGATTTACATCCTCGGCGTCCTTCAACTTAGCAGAAAGAAGAAAAGTATCTGAAATGTTAAAAAATAATTTTGATTAATTTTGGTTACCTTTGACAGACGTAAAATACATTCCAGTGTTATTTCTTTCACATGAGGGTAGATCTGAATATCCTTGTGTAAAAATAAACTTATAACTATGATGTCAGGTCTTAATAGAAGGTGTCTTTGTTGGCAACAGCAATGATCTCTGGAGCTAGTTGCCATCTCTCCTGCAACTCCACACTGACAAGGATGGATCTATCAATCATCCAATTCAGTTTAACAGATCCACTCTCCAGTCAATGCTGCACTTAACCTTTTGGTTACTCTACTGCCTTGTTTTTAATCAATGCAGAACGATCAGCATCTGTAGCACCAAATGTGAACGTGAGACTAGAATCGCTTAGCGAATTAAAAGGACAATATTGATATTTTGAAGAGAGGTTTTGTTAAGTATCACTAATAGCTATGGTACATTGTTCATGGCCTTCAACAGGTGACAGACAGGAAAGTGGGCTATGAGAGAGGCATGCTACAAAGGTCAACAGGCCAGGACTCAAACCCGTGACGGCCGTGCTGAGAACAAAACCGACTCCGGTCTTGGTTCATGGTTTGTACGCTCCACCCCTGTGCCACTGTTGCTTCCGAGGGACATTTGTTTTACACAGTAATAGAAACCCAAGTCAAAAATCCATTATTCAATCATAGACGGTTAATTTGTATTATGTTGTAGCCTATATCAATAAACATAATCTCTTTCAATAGATTTAATGTAATAAACTCAGCTGTTTGCGCTCTTCCCAAACATCTGGTGAAGTCTACCAATGGCACAACCCTGATCTCTGTGCTCTCCAGCTCTACTGTGCATCATGGCTGCAATCAGCTGGTCTTCACCCAAATTCCAGGAAGGCCAAAGAGGTTCTGGTGACATTCTCCAGCAGGCACCATGGTTGGCAGAAGCTGCCACCTTCCAAGGGAAACTTGTGATGATTGTAGGGGGAATAGAGGTACGTGGGCGCTGGTTCCCTTCTAATGCAGAGGAGATTCTCCAGAAATGCAGCCAGAGGGGATATCTTTTTAATGCTGGGGTATGTAACTTGTGTATTTGTTAAATCTGTCACTGTGTTGTAACAATATGACAGATAATCTGTGACAAAAATCAAGGTCCTCTGCCTACTCCTCATACTAACTACAGAAATACATGGCTCAGACAGAAACGACCAATCAGAGTCAGGAGGCCACCAATGACAGGGAATAAACGGTTTTCTCTGCCATTAGCACATTGAGCAGCGCATACACAAGGGTGATTGACGCCACCAAGACCATCCTCTTGCCTCTGATTGGTTGATTTTGACTGGGAGTGGTGCACTTCTTCAGATGGCAACAGGAGCACTGGGAGGAAGTGAAGGAGCTTGATCTTTTCACAAATGATCTGTCTCATGCTATTCTGTCAGGACAGGAAAGGGTGACAGTTTTATCAAATGTATATAAAAAATAATTTTCATAAAAGTTACACACCCCAGTTTTAATTAAACTGAGATTCTTTGGAGCCAATAAATCCATTACGATCAACTCAGTCAATCTTAGTTTCCATTAACGAAAATACTTAACACCATTGGACCAAATGGCATCAGCTTCTCTTCTGATTGAGAAGAAGAGAAGCTGATTCCAATCCATTATCAATCCATCATTTCTCCTGATCCAATCATATCCATACATCGTATCATGCAGTTCTACTCATTCATTAGATCTGACAATGATTTCAACACTTCAGCCAATGAAGTTCATAGCAATATACCGTACATTGAGCTGAACTTGAAAAGGCTTCAGAAAACATAAGAACTTCATCTAATTTAATCTAATCTAAGAGCTGGAGTTGGGTGTTTCGAGGGGAAGGTCTTGGTTTTGTCTCCGTGTTGGACCAATGGTTTCAGATGATCCCAGGAAAACACATTCTCATCGTTCAATGTTATTTTGAAACTTGAATCTTTATTGATGTGTATAAGGACGGCATAATTTATACTCACAGTAGATGCGCAGACCAGTGATTATTACCAGTATCACCCAGCAGATCGCTACCGTGGACAGACACCGTTTGCTGGATGGAGTCCTGCCATCTAAGTGGAAGAATAATGCCAAATACTGAATAATGATTACAAAACTATTTCCTTGTGTACTTTTTCTTTTATGCTACAGTCTTATTACAGGTTGAAATACATTAATCATGTCTTTCCTCAAAGTTCTACACACAAATACCTCATGCTGGTCTGACCAATGACCAATGATGGAGGCTGCTGAGCTCCCTGGACCTCAGAGCAGCAGAAATGTTTCTGGATCCTTCCCCAGATTTGTTCCTCAAGACTATCCTGTTTGAGGTCTACAGACAGTTCCTTCAAATTCATGCTTGATGTTTGACCTCTGACCTGTGAGATCTTATAGACAGTGTGCCTTTCTAAATAAAGTCCAGTCAGCTGAATTTACCACATCTAGACTCCACCATAACTGTAGAAACTCGACAATCAGTGGAAAAAGCTCAACTGTGAGTTTCATCAACAAAGTATTAAGCAAAGGCAGTGAATACTTATGTAAAACCTTCTTCATTTTTACTTTTAATAAATTTACAGTTCAATCTAAACCTTTATTCAACAATGACTTCATGGGGTATTTGTGTGCAGAATATTCAAGAAAGAAATTTATTCATTACAATTTGTAATATGTCTATAGTGATATAAAACCTGAAAAAAGTAAGTACTGTGACATGACAATTTGACTGTATATTTTTAAAGTCCTGTTAACAACAATAGTGTGTATATATATACTTATATATATGCAACAGGTCGTTATGTGAAACAGTCTGTTAAATAAAGCTGCAAAACACTTTTATTACTGTGCTACAGCAGCTAAAACAACCTTTACTTTGGACCATCTGTTAATGTCATAAAAGTAAAACCCTTCATAGAATTATACATAAATCTTACCTGTGGACAGGTAAACCTTGGGTTTATGAGTCCCAGTCAGCTCCATGGATTCTGCCTTCATGTTGAACAAAGATCAGTGTCTTTGCAGACAGAGAGAAGTTTTTCATGAGAACAATCTGCTTTGTGGTCTTTCAAGCCTTCCTGTTCTGCTTTAAGAGGCCGGCGCTGAGTTTTTAACCACAGCCTGTCGGTTAAAATCCTGCTGCTGTCATAGTTTGTCCTTTAGGTTGAAACTCAGCAACCTGCTGCAACAAACAAAAACCCCTGATATGAAATAGTTATGGATGAATAAGTCTGGAAATAAGTTCATTTTCATTTCCCATTTCACATGTTTGATCCAGTATGAGTCTCATTTATGAAACATGTTTCAAATCAACCAAAATATCACATTATTAAACATCCCAGTACACAGCTCTCTCTCTTTTTGGGTTATTAGTTAAGATGAAGACATTTGGTGTTGACCAGGACTGGAACTAAGATGTGCTGCAGCTCTACGGCCCAACAGGAGGTTCTGGGTGCAGCAGATGGTCCAACTTCAGTCAGAACCACCAACACAGAACATAGAGAAACATGAACCATTTAATTTCCCTTTGGGATCAATAAAGTGTTATTTTTATGAATCCAGGAGATGGAAAACATTCTCCTCCTGCAGGAGCGTCAACGTTTAGATGGTTCTGCTGGTGTAATTTAATACTTCATTTCACAAAACCTGCAGGTTACATTTTAGAATATTTTCACTCATTCAGGTATTTTTCCTCTAATAATTCCTTTATTGCTCCACACAGAGGAAAGAGGCAGGAAATTAAGTAGCAAATAGACAGAATAAATAACAGAATAATGAAATACTACAGTCAACATTAAGATGGTGCAGTTATTAAAGTGGTGTACTCTGGTCCAAAGGAACCTGCAACTGGGCAGGTTAATATAAAAATTAAAAAAATGTGCAACTTACTAATTATTTCCATTGAAATTACTAGAAGTTTACTGGAAAGTAACCAGTAAATGCCTGGAAAGTTACATTACCAGAACTCGGTATGTTCCAGAAATGCTATGGAAAGCAACTGGTTAATCCTGTAGTACTGAGTTTCAGGTTCTGAAAAGTGCGGCTGTGTTGTGTGTTGGCACCAGGGTTCTTCAGCAGTGTTGGCATGAGGAGGAATCGGGTCACAGATCCAGGATGATATTCAGGAGTAATTTGGTCATTTTGCCATTAGATGTTATAGTTTGATTTTGCTTTGAGACTTTTTGAACTTTTTCTTGTTTTAATCTTTTTCCTTCATTTTAGACGTTCAGTTTTCTGCCTCTTAGTTTATGTGAAATTAGGTTTCAAGTTTGGATTCTTTTCCTCCTTTCGGTTCCTCTTCTGCGTTGACTCATTTCTTTTCTGCCCTGGTTCACCGGGGGTTTTTTGCTAAAGATCAGCTGTTTTAATACGTGATGTGGGTCGAGTCCTGCATCACTTTGTGGTTTTAAGTCTCCTTCCTGTTCTCACATTCTTCCAATTTGTCTGATTGTTCTGCTTATTAAGCATCTTCTGTTCAGTTTTTGTAGAAATAAAAATTCACAATTGTTTTCCTCCATAAACTGCAAAACACAAAATCTTACCAAGTATTTTTGGTTTACTGTTTGGTGTAAATATCTTTGTACACTTGAAACAAGTCAAAACACACTGGCATTCACACATCCCAGCAGAATATGTTCTTCTAATTATTCAATGTATTGCATTGAGTCATTCATTTCTACTAAATATACACTAAATACACACAGGGATTTATTTCATGTTTATTTCTCTTAATTTGAGCTGTCAGATTCCTGAAATTCAGATTCTCAAACATTAAATAACACTAAGTTTTATAAGTTGCTTTATGAATCAAAAAAAAGTTTTATTATGGGACTTTTTCACACTAAATCCTAAAACTAAAGGTACAGAGAGAAGCATTAATCAGTAATAGAGCTGTATAAATAAACTACATAAAAAACATAAATGAAGTAATAACATGAAATAATGAAAATTTAAAATGATCAGATGATAACATAGTTGAATTTAAAATGCTATAGTTACATGGCAGGGAGTAATATTGATTATTAAAAGAGGTTTTGTTGTTGTTGTATTTACCCAGAATTCTTCCAAAAGCAGGAAGCATAGTCCACTTCCTGTTTTTGGAGCGGTCTCTGGTCCGCTCGGTGTTCACATTCTAACCGCACCTCGGTCTGGATTAACCAAACTCACATGTTTTAGGTCTGCATCCGTTTGATTCACCTCTCCAGTTGAACCGGACTTTCTAGGCAAACGGACTGGAGTTGAATTAAAGCGGACTGAACAGAGCCGGTGGGAACGCAGCCTTGGACTTGGACACTTGGACCTGGAAGCAGACTGCAGACTTGGTGGAGAGGAAAAATCTCAAAGAAACACTGGAGGAGATCATTGTTGTTCAGTTCCAACCGTTGTGATTAAACGGACCATCACTGAACTGCTGTGGTTAAAAACATTGAGAAGGTGGATCTTTCTGCTTCAGCCACTTATTTGAAACATTCTTCATAAAATCTCCTGCGCTGGTACATTTCATCTGGACAGAACCTTCCTCTGACAGATCCACCAGTTCTCATCTCCACAGCTCACAGATTTCCACTGGTCTCCCTGGCAGAAACGGCACAGTTCAAGTCCTCAGCCGGTGACTGAACCCGGTGGCTGAACGCGGAGAACCAAGTTAGATCATGACTGAGAGGCAGTTCAGAGCTCAGGCTCATGTCTCACCTGTGTGTTGGAGAACTCCCATCGACCCATTTCCATCCTCCGACTTCAGCTCTGAGACCAATCCAGTATCCACTGGTTCCAAAACCAGCTAATGTGATTCTGTAGATGAAGTCCTGAAGACATGAAACAAACATGACTAAAACATTTAGCATTCATTCCAGTCTGATGGCCTCTGAAATTTAATCAGAATAATGCTAAACGTCTTCATCTGCGCTTCCTGTTGGTCCGTTCTGTCCAGGATGTTAGCAGGAAGCCTTCTCCACATGGTTAGGAAGATTTTCCACACAATGTCTTTACAAACTAAAAGTCAAGTTAATCTTTTCTGTCGTTTCATCTATTGTTGTTCAAACCAAACTAGAATCTGTCCATGGTCCTCCTCACCTGCTCCTCTGGACTCTCTATGATGCCCAGCTCTGCATCGTCTGCAGCTTCCTGCCAGGTTTTCTGGTCCGAATCGTTGTGGCTGCTGATCATGTAGCAACTGGACTGGAAGTGGAGCCAGCCCTGCAGGCAATGTGCCTTCCTGAAAATGAAGAAATTAACCAATTAGCCTGATTTATCACCACACAACAGAAGAAAGTCCTGGATGAAGATGAAGACATGCTACTGTACTTTTTCTGCTATGATGTGGCGTTTCGGTTGTTGTGTTCAGGCTCTGGATTTCTCCAATCAGGCTGCAGTTTGCTGTCCGAAGCTGCTGGTTTTCAGCATCTAGATTCTGATTTTCTGTCCGAAGCTGCTGGTTTTCAGCATCTAGATTCTGATTTTCTGTCCTAAGCTGCTGGTTTTCAGCATCTAGATTCTGATTTTCTGTCCGAAGCTGCTGGTCTGCAGTCAGCTGCTGG